ATGTCCGGTTTTATTTGACTTCGGCAGTTTAATACAATAAAGTACACAAAGTACTATAACATTTATTTGGGTAAATTTTAAACCATTAAAGCGAGTACATATTCAATTATACCAGATCTGTTAAATAATGATTAATAATCATGATGAATAATAATAAAAGCATGTTTTTTGGATAACCCTGTAATGATTAAATACCAATATTAGCACCTTTTTAATGATTAATAATTTTATTTATTTTATTCTTATCCAAATCTCAAACCATTAATTATGACATTTATAAAATTATGAATTTAATTTTATTTAATGATAACTTTTGTTTTTATTTAAGTTCATGCAAAAATGAACTTAAGTATTTATTTTATTTTTAGCCGAAATGTTTTTCAATATTATTAAAAAAGATGAAAAATATAGTATTTATTGTACCTGAAACCTTTTACTTTTAATAACATTTAACGAAAAATGCATTTAAATTTATCTTCGAAAGTTTGAAATATTTATGTATTTATTTTTCCTTTTAATTAATAGTCAAACAATTTAACACTAATTATTGGCAAATCTAAGGCTGGTAAATAAAAATGTGTAATATATTAAAGTGTACTTAATCAAAAGTTTTTTATTGTATATTCATAAATTCATTTTATTTTTTTACTCCTAAAGCAGTGGTTTCGGTCCATAATTGGATTAGTATTTTTCTGTCTATTCTGAACTAGTATGAGACTGGTATATTTCTGGCCGAAATAGGACAATCGCCATCTCGTAGGACATCCCCATGTTAAAAATACCAGTTGATTGCATGGAAAAAAGATAGTCGGCTGACTAGTTGGGCAGCGGTTCATACTAGCGGTTTACAACTAGTACATTTGACTACAGGGTATGTACAAGGCCGTATTGAGGAGAGGGGGTGATGTGGGTGTTCTCTGTAACGAGAAAGTGAGCGCTTACCAAAGAATCAAAGTTTTTGCTGGGTACTTCCTTTATGTACAATGTGCATGTCCAATTATAAAAAAAATACATACAGTGGTCAAAATGTTGTAGTCAAACCACTTTTTGCCAAGTTTTAACGTATCATTTTCGTTGTTATTTAAATTTGGTAATTTTTTATAAAAATATAGTTCATTCTTTAACAAAACCCGTGTAAATCAAAGTTCCCAACTTTGTGCAATATTTAAAAAAAAGTCCAAAAAACGTTCGTACAAATTTCGAGCTTATTTTAAAAATTCTAAAAATCAACATTACTTTTTTGTAACGAGCACGAAATTTTGATACGAGACAGAAAGAAAAAACATTCGTTTTATTTGACACAGTCTAATGTACATACATACATATACATAAGTAGAAATATACTTGTAAATTTCACGTAAGTAAATGCATGTGCGGGTGGATTACGGATTATTAGAGATATATCTGCAACACATTGTTGCACTTGTTTTAACTTTAACAACAAATAACATGTTAACCTTTACGTTTCATGTTTTTTCTCTTATCCGTGGTTTTCATCGCGCTCCTCGCCACACATGCGAGTGTGTATAAATACCAGTTCAACTGTTATGTTGGCCGCACTAGGTGTGTTTCGGAATTATTGGACGAATTTTATTAGCAGTCGCTATGTGGATTTTAGCATTACAAATTGTTTTGGTTAGCCTGATAAATGGAATTTGCCTGGTATTAACTGTGAAATTAAAAATAATTACAACGTAAAGCTGTGTATATATAATGATTTATGATTTCAGGGTGAACAACCATATACAGTACAAAATGAGGCGTTGGAGCCATTCAAGGGCATCCAGGAAACATGTGTTGACATGTCAAATTTAAAAACCGTTGGACGACAACGATTTGTCAATGGAACAGTTAAGTTTTTGGAGGAAATGGATAGTGAGAGCTTCAAATTTCAAGTCGAATTATTCTCGAGCCCTAACAGTGATGGTCAATACAAACGTTTACCCATGGGTGTGCCAATTACAAGAATTTGCGATGGATTTAAAGATTTGTACACAAAAATCATCCAACCTTCCCTTATACAAGGTGAAAATACAGATTTCCCTCATGTACCCGACGAAGGTTTGTGCCCACTACCGATCGGTGAGTTTTATATAAAAACTTTGGAGTTCAATACAGACACCTGGCCGAATCAGATTCCACGTGGAACGTTAAAAGCCGTTTTAACATTCTTCAAAAATGAGGTCAGTGTTGGCGGAACGGTAATGAAGATGAAAATCGAAGACCGGCAGTAAATAAATGTTAACGTATTTAAAAAACTAAAGAAAATAATTTAAAGAGCTGGCAGCAGAGGAAAATTATACAACTGTATATGTACATTCATGCATACATACTTCAATAGATAACCATCAAGGTGAAGAGTAAATTAGTTATTTAGACACATATGTGTGTCTGTAGGTACATTTTATGTAGAACATTTTTTTATGGAAACATGTGACTTTATAATATTTCTTAAAATAAAAGTTACCCGATCTTGGCTTATCCTCAATCACTGAGGCGATCATTGAAAAATGAGATGGGTTAAAAATGAAAAATTCACGCAGGCCACCTTTTACAGGGTCTAGCATTGGAAAAAGATAAGAACAAATTTAATCTCGTTCTATAATTATATTATAAAACCTCAGTGCTATTATAAAAACTTTAGGGCTGCAATATAGCGAGAGTATAAGTTTGACAGAATAAAATGTAAACAAAGATCATAGAAAATAAGAATATTAATGGCTCTCTTATATTCATAGTACATATATGTACTTTAAGATAACAAAAATGCTGCCACGTTTGTCGGAAAATTGGTTTTTGGGCAAGAGTACAGGGAGACTCCTACTAAATTAATAAAGAAAACACTGAAAAATCGTGATTTAATCGGTACAAATATGAATGATCAGGACACTTATACATACCGACTTTTAAAAAGTATTCAGCGGGACAATTTTCTCAAAATCGATACGTAATTAATTATACCTAATAGTTATACAGTTCTGTTCATCAGAATATGCTCATATAAATGTTAGCCGTTTGGTGCTTTGGTAGATTCAGTCTGCCAAATCAGGGACGGAAATAAGCACAGGCTATATAGGCGCTAGCCTAGGGGCCCGCGCAACAGGAAAAATTAAAAGATAAAAAAAATAAAATCAAATAATAAGTGAAAAAATTATATATTTACAATTTCTAAGGAACGTAGGAGGCGAGTCGATCAAAGAAATATTTAGTTCGTTTTTTACCCTATTCGAAGGGGATTCACATTGTAGTACAACGTAATTTAAGTACTACATATCTGATTTAGTTTAGAAAGGAAAGGAAAATGCATCGAGTGGGATCAACTTGTCATATAACGTTAAATTACAGGCATCTAACTTGATTCACCGGGGAGAGACCAATCAAAGTTCGTGCTATATGACATCATTTACTTTTCATGCAAATAGATGTTCGAGTAAGTTTTATGAAGTGTGAAGGAGGGATGGAAAAATCGATTCCGATTCTACTCCAGAATGGAAGATTTTCTCGATCTTAGAGAATCGATTCTAATTGGCCGATTTGATAGATTTATGAAGCGAAAGAAAGTTTGAAATAAAAAATCGATTAAAATCGAATAATTCGAATCTCGATTCCAAGAATCGTAAGGATTAAATAATATTCGAGAATCGAGCATCGATTATTTTTCAAAACTTTCCATTAGGTGTATTAAAGCAATATACATATATATATTACTTATTTCTTGCTTTGTTGCTTACAATGTTTTTCAAATGAAGGATGTAATTAAGTAACTTAACTTATTCAGAATTTTGATTATAATAATTTAAATTGCAAACTGTGTTTTGCGTTTTCCTTTTGCGAATGTTTCTATAATCCTTTCAACGTCAATTTCAATATCTAAGTCAACATGTAAAAGGGCTAGACCTGTCAGCAGCGCTGCCGAAAGCTTTCGCTGGATAATCGTCCCTTTACCATAAAAAAATCGTCATTTCGGCCAAAATATCGTAAAATTATTGTTTATTGAATTTTTTAACAAAATAAAAAATGCAAAATAATTACCTACAATGAGTCGGATGCGTAAAAACTAAGCAATTGCGTTTTCTTAAAATTGCGCACCTTTAACTTAAATTTATTTGAAAGAGTTAAGTAAAAGTAATGGTCTGAAGTTTTAAGAAAAAGCATTTGCTTAGGTTTTACGCATACGGCTCAATAAATATGACCACACATTACAAAACCAAATGGAATCCACAATTTAAAATTACAATGTAAAACACAACTGCCTTTAAATAGTTGAACTCCACTGGTTTGAAGTTTTTGAAGATTTCGATCCAGTTTTAAAGTAGGGGTCTTCACACCGAGCTTGATACTCGGTGTTCGGTAATTTTTCCCAATGTATTTTGTTTGTATAAATTATTTCATTATCGCTGTACCGGTTACCGAATTATCGCGAAGGACGTACGAAAACCACGTTCTATAAGTCACTCATCATGCCCGTGCTGGTATATGGCGCACAAGCATGGACAATGACAACATCCGATGAGGCGGTTTTTGGAGTGTTTGAGAGAAAGATTTTGCGGAAGATTTACGGTCCTTTACGCGTTGGCGACGGCGAGTACCGCAGACGATGGAACGATGAGCTGTATGAGGTTTACAACGACATGGACATAGTCCAGCGAATTAAAATACAGCTGCTCCGCTGGCTTGGCCATGCCGTTCGAGTAGACACCGATGCTCCAGCTCTGAAAGTATTCAACTCGGAACCCGCTGGTGGTAGCAGAGAAAGAGGGAGGCCCCCACTGCGATGGAAAGATCAGGTGGAGAAGGACTTGGCTTCACTTGGCGTTTCCAATTGGCGTCCGTTGGCACAGAGGAGAAACGACTGGCGCGCTTTGCTGAACTCGGCCAAAATCGCTTAGGCGGTTACAGCGCCAAAAAAGAAGAAGAAGAAGAAGAAGAAGCTTGATAATTTTTCTGCTAGGTGGGAAAGTCCAATCAGCTGTTCGATATTTATTCAATTCTAAATCTGTCCGCTGCCGAAAGGCATAACGCATATGAGTAGGTAAAATTCCTTAAAGTTTCTGTTACAATTTCTTTTGTTCTTTGGAAAAAGCTACGAATCCGCTGTTAACAAACATAGTTTAGCACAGGCTTTCACAAAGAGGGTGACGCGGCACCCTGGGGGGCCGCTAGTGGCTTGAGTATAATAGTGGTGCGGGAAAATTCTTTAGACTTTCCATACACAACGCAGGCGGTTTGATGAAACTTCAACATGGCGACCAGAAAATCAAAAAAAATTTGGATTTTTATTTAAGTTACCTTCAGCGGCTCGTCAAACCCCATACACATATTTCGCTCTTAAGCGTAGTTCCCCAGTACGTTTTGTTAACGTAAAATTGAATCAGAAAATTGTTTGAAAAATAGCCGAAAACGTACCCTTTTCACAACCACTTTCGGTACCTTTGTTGACCTAATCTGCGTTTCATCCACTTTTCTTCCCGTTTTCGGATATTTTTCTGGCTGGGCTGTTCTAGTAACAAGCGCAGCAGCTTCGCGCACGTGTATATATCACAGCGTACGGCAGTGCGCGCAAGTGACGAAAGCAGCCACAGTAGCATGACTCGCTTATATATACACGAGATTTGCAAGTTTTCATCCAGACATCCAACCGACATGTTTGAGATATCGTTGGAAAAGTCTTGTACAGTGTGTCCAGAAAATGTATTCAAGCTTCATAAACGATTAGCCGGATTCTTAAAAATTAGGCTAACGTGTTACGAAACAAAAAACGTTTTTTTGCTTTTGGCGGCTTAAGGGGGCATGTGGATATACCCAACATATTTAATGTTATTCCATAGGCCAGTACCTTTTAAACAATACCTTATATATTAAGTTCCGGCTACTAGTTGGAAAGATATAGAGGCTAATGTGTTTTGGTTCGTGTCTCCACTTCCAGATGCTTTGGTATGTATGTGGCGTCTGTACGTACCTTCATTTAATATTTTTCAAACTTTCAGGAATTAAAATACAAAAAAAAACTGAGAAGTTTTTGTTCCAGGATGTCTTGATTCGTATGCCTTTGTGGGCGTGGCTGCTGCCTGAAATTCGATAAAAGGCAATTTTTAAACTACCACTAAGGCCACACTACTCAGTCCAAGTCATTGACGTGGATGTCAGTAGAAGGGTCTTCAAATAAGCGGTGACAGGTAATAAGGTCAATGGAAATAAGGTCAATTCACTTTATTTCCCACCCTGGTGCGAAATAAAGTCAATTGACATTATTACCTTTTCAAAAGCGAAATAAAGTCAACAAAAATTTGGAAATAAAGTCATTGACGCTATTTCCTCATTCAAATGGAAATAGCGTCAATAATGCTTAAAGTATGTCGATTCAAAGAAAAAATGTTGTTCTTACAATAAACATTGCCCCGTAAGTGTTCTTTTTAATAGATGAAAAAGGCTTTTGCCAAATCCTCAGTGTTGTGATATTAATCCACACACAATCATGAACTACCACCAATTGATTATATTAAAAAAAATTTAAATTACGAATATGTAAAAACACGATGCGAAAAACTAAACGCCTGCGCACAGCTGGAATACGAGAAATATTTGAAGAAAGAGTGGAGAAATGATCCATAACTTGCAAAACATTTTTCGTTTCTACAAAAATAAAGCGAACACTATTAAATTGAAGAAACAGTACATGTCCAAAAACCCCGGAGCAGCACTGAAAGAATTCTGTGTTTTAAATTAGCATATTTTGAACGAATTCGGAATGTGTAAGGTGGAAAAGAACCCAACCTTTCTATAAGGAAACAATTACAGAAAAAGAATTTTCTTACACTGTATTTATGTCTCCGCCAGCAGTCATTTAGAAGCAGCTAAGGAGAACGACGACACTATTTATTAGATGGCACATTCAACGAGCCAATGTGCCAAAATGCGGGTATAAACAATTATTGATTATTTAATATCGGAACCGAGATCATATAAGTTAATTGATTGGTTTTCACACACTTTTGAAACACAAATTATATGCTTTTTTACTGCAGACAAGTTGTTGCCTCAAAACACAGCAGAAATCTTCCAATCAGGGCTGCCAACTCTCCTTAGTTATGAGGTGCCATATTGAGGATAAAAAAGTGCCAAAATGTGCCAAATAGAAAAATAAAAGTGCTAAAAAAGGTGTAATTCCTTTTAATCATTCACATTTAGCAATAAAATAAAGCCACATTTTCAAAACAAAAGTGCAATGATAAAATAAGATAAACCAGTTGAAAAGCCTTTATAAATTAGAAAATTTTAGTTGAGAAAAAGAAGTACACGCAAAGGATTTCGCAAAAATGTATTGAAATGTTATTTTTTTTTACAAAATTGCCATTTTGGCATTTTGTGCCAAATTGAAAAATTAAGTGCCATTTGAAGTAAAATAGGAACAAATGGCACGGTTTGAGCCAAGTTGGCATCCCTGCTTCCAATAACTTACAAATATAAAAATGTGAAATATCGAGGGCTTGAATTCATTAATACCCTCTATCTGCAATTTGCACAAAAACTAATTTGTGA